TAAGGAAAAGACGTGAAAGTTCGAGAATGACGTGGCGTGATACTAGTCACGTGACCTCGATGTCGTAACAATATACAAACACATCACCACAGTCATAAATCCTGTCTTGTCCATAACTTTTCTGCGATCGTCTGATTTATTATTCTTCACTGGCCCAGTTTATATCTCTCGTCTCATCTTCGGTTCGCCACCAACCCTTCACGTTCAGTTCCCACGTGCCACTCTATACTCTTGACAACAACGAGTCACAAACGCAAAATACAATATTGAAATTAGAAAAACAAACGAAATAATGTAACAATAACCATACAACACAACAAATCAACAATACTCTTCTATATCGTGACAGGTAGATAACTATTTCAGTAGAGTGTTTAGGTAGATCACTATTTCAGTAGAGTGTTTAGGTAGATTACTGCTATTTAAATATAGTGTTCAGGTAGATTACTGCCGTTTCAATATAGTGTTCAGGTAGATTGCTACTACTGATTATAGTTGGAATACTAAGCACTTTCCTTTTTCACAGTGTTAACAAGATTAATATCAATAATGGATAATTTCATTTTTACAGATGTTGTTAATGGATGGATTAAAGCTTTGTTTTATTATTATATCGGACTTATTAGGTGGCTTTCAATGGACTGATTACAGTCCTGTGGATTACACAAACTGGGGGGATAAAGAGCCCAATAATGCGGCAACTGACCATTGTGTGCAACTAGAAACTGAAAACATGGTTTGGAAAACTACAAGATGCACATACTACTCAGAATATATTTGTATGATGAAGAAAGGTTGGTTTCTTGGTATTATTATCAACAAAACCCTTGTATATTTAATACATTCTTCTAGATGTTAATATAAAACAATTTGTTAATTTCTCTTCAATAACTCTCACTTCCAACAATGATGTGTTCTTCTACTACCCTATGTCCCCCCTATATATAACACTACAATGGGGGGCCCAATTTTGTACCCCTTAAAACTTCCTAAAGTTTACCGGCTTCAAGTTTAAGATAAATAATGAAATATTAGAACATTTTTTATTTTATTTTACTGTGCATCCAAAAATTAACTTGGTACTGGAAGAGATAAAACTCTGACTGTAACATTTTCATATTGGAATGGAAGGTTATTAAAATCATCACGACACTTTATAGGCTTTGATTACACACGTAAACTTATAGAAGCTAGTATGAAGGAATGTTGTGAACAATGGTTCAGTTTGATTGTTTAAAAAAAATAGGTTTTATCCAGGACGTTTTATCACAGAATATTAAATTGTCACACTTTCCTATCAAAGTTTGAGCAATATAAGATTTTCACTTGAGGTGAAGAATATTGAAAACTAACACTTTTGTAACAAACAAGTATAATTCTGGTTGAACTGTGTTCTCTGCCGTGAGTCATGCTCATAAAACGTTTCATTTTTAGTGTGAAAATTTACCCATCTGGTTGAACTCTGTTCTCTGCCATGAGTCATGCTCATAAAACATTTCATTTTTAGTGTGAAAATTTACCAATCTGGTTGAACTATGTTCTCTACCATGAGCCATGCCCATAAAACATTTCATTTTAAGTGTGAAAATTGACCCATCTGGTTGACCTCTGTTCTCTAACATGAGTCATGTTCATAAAAACATTTCATTTTTAGTGTGAAAATCTACCCGTACTGCTCCTGATGAAAAAAATATAATTTTTCGAATGCCCTCGAGTTTTTAAGGCACTCTTTTGACTTTTTAATCACTTTTAACCATAAGGAAATTATCAAGTCAAATTTCAATGTCATATTGATCTCAAAATAATTCTATTTCTAGTTCCTGGACAACCAGATGAGAAAGAAAATCCAGTAGGTAAGTAAATTATTGATAGCTGTTATATGCAAGTTTTAAAATAAAAATCGGAGCCATTTCTTCTTCATGACTGTCCCTGCTCCCATGAAAAAAGTAAAAACATAAAACCACCCATTATATTTGAGGAAGCCATTGACTCCCCTCTTAAACTCTTATAAGGTATTCAGCAGTACAACTACCAAAAGCAACCCATTCCATAGGCTAATCATTTTGTTGAAAATAAAACTGACTTAATCGGACCCTATCCATATTTCCATATCTTAAACTCATGCCCTCTAGTCCTGCTATCTTCAAAATTCAACACAACAGAATAATTTTGTAAACTTCAGTAACATCATCTCTTAGTTTTCTAAAATGAACCAAGAGTTCTCAATGTATCATAATAATATAACTTTTACATTCCTGGAACAATCCTACTAGCCATCTTCTGAACTCTTTCCAATAAGTCAATATTTTTTTATGAGATAGGGAGATCAAAAGTGTTCTCAGTATTTCAAGTGAGGCCTAACTAGGGATTTGAAAAAAAAAATACCTCTTTTGGTTTTGACTATGGTTATAAGAGAAAAGGAGTTTTTAGCTCTGTCAAAAGCATAGACTCTTCTCCCTCCAGTTATGGAGTCCGATCGCAGTACTTTTGTCAGTGTACTGTCAAGACAGGAAGACGCTAACCCTAATTTCCAACAACCGACCATAAGGAAGCAATTGTTCAGCAATAACATACTGCTACACTAGTACCTAAACTGTCAACACGATCTATACTTTAGTATTTATAACACAAATTCTAGTTCTTATCTTTTTATGATTTTCACTACTTAATGACAGAATCCCCTTCTACAATATACATCTTTCCATTACTTAATGAGAGAATCCTCTTCTACAATGTACTCATTTCCACTACTTAATGAGAGAATCCCCCTTCTACAATGTATCCCTTTCCAATACTTAATGAGAGAATCCTCTTCTACAATGTACTCCTTTCCACTACTTAATGAGAATCCACCTTCTACAATGTACCCCTTTCCACTACTTAATGAGAGAATCCTCTTCTACAATGTACTCCTTTCCACTACTTAATGACAGAATCCCCCTTCTGCAATGTATCCATTTCTAGTACTTAATGAGAGAATCCTCTTCTACAATGTACTCCTTTCCATTACTTAATGAGAGAATCCCCTTCTACAATGTACTCCTTTCCACTACTTAATGAGAAAATCCCCCTTCTACAATGTACTCCTTTCCTTTACTTAATGAGAGAATCCCCCTTCTACAATGTACTCCTTTCCTTTACTTAATGAGAGAATCCCCTTCTACAATGAACTCCTTTCCTTTACTTAATGAGAGAATCTCTCTTCTACAATGCACTCCTTTCTACTACTTAATGAGAGAATCCCCCTTCTACAATGCACTCCTTTCTACTACTTAATGAGAGAATCCCCCTTATACAATGTACTTCTTTTGATCATTTCGTTTCTACATCTACAATGTACTTCTCTTGATCATTTCGTTTCTCACTCGAAGACTTTATCTGTTTCTGTTATTTTTACCTTTGTAAACCCAACACACTTGTTATCATCCTTTTTAAATGTAACCTTTAACATAACTCTCTCGACTTCCTTGGTTTCTGTTCAAAGTAACTGTCATAATTCAACTGAATATAGTTTTAAACTTTCACATTAAAGCTGAACTTTAGAAATACACATTCCAACATTCTAAGAATTTGTCGTTATATGCTATTTTGACATGCAGTACGAAATAAAATATTAGTCCTTCTAATATTTAAATCTTTCAAAATGGCAGAGTCGGTGATGAAAACAGTTTAAGATAATTTGAGAATCTTGCCTAATACCGAATTTTCAAGCACTTATTTTGGTGCTGGTATTTTCTAAGTTGGTTTATCTGTTATAAAGCATAAATAAGACAGAACTGAACATGGACGTTTTACTTTAATAATACTAAAAAAATTAAAGAGCGTATCGTTTTAAAATCTTACAAAATATATTAAATTATATTATGAATAAGTTTGGCTACTTATTTATATTATCTTTTTGTTTTTAAGTATAGTGTTTGTGAAACTTTTGGAACAGAAAAAATACAGTTCTAAAAATAGTGTGAGCAGATTATAACTTTGGTATCAAATTATAACAATGTAAGCAGATTATAGCATTGGTATCGAATTATAACAATGTGGGCAGATTATAACTTTAGTATCGAATTATAACAATGTAGGCAGATTATAATTTTAGTATAGAATTATAACAATGTAGGCAGATTATAACATTGGTATCGAATTATAACAATGTGGGCAGATTATAACTTTAGTATCGAATTATAACAATGTAGGCAGATTATAATTTTAGTATAGAATTATAACAATGTAGGCAGATTTTAGTTATTTCTATATTTTCAGAAAAGAGCGGGAAAAGGCTTGCACCCTGGGCAGTGGCCGTCATCTGTTTGTCTATGTTGACCTTAGCAGGAGTTATGATAGGCCTGTGGTTTTTTAAACGGAAAGAAAAGTCCACTTTGAAAAGTCCACCTCTTTCGTTCGACAATATCATGTATGTTTCAGGAACAGAAACTCTCTCTTCTCCAAGTTCTTCAGCATGAACACTTCCAGTAGTTGATATCTGTTGGAGACATTGCTATGTGATCAAAGTGTTTTTTACCCTGATTGTTGTTGTTATGTAGTGTCTATTTTATCGGTGTATTTCTAAAACAATAAACTGGATAGTTGTATCATAAATATACCTGTTTACAGATGTTTGTTTTTAATTATGCACAAAGCTACACAAGGGCTATCTGTGCTCTGCCCACCACGGGTATCGAAACCCGGTTTCTAGCGTTGTAAGTCCGCAGACATACCGCAGTGCCACTTGGGGGGCGTTTACAGATGAACACCAGGCACGGAGTTCTGTAACTTTAAGGGGTTTTGTTACTTTTACTGTTGTATAATCTGATTTCAATTACAAACAACAACCTGGAAGTAAAGGGGACGTGTGAGCAAACTGAACTTTAATTTCACACATCAACAACATTTCCAAGTAATGCCCTTATTTAAAGGTAGCTTGTGATTGGCATATTAGAATTAAAAATTGAGAAACCTGATAACCAGAATGCTCTCAGAAAGTGTACTTTTCGTTTTCGGAGAAGAATTCATCAGGGAAGCAGGAAGTTCAACCTTCAGTAAACGATCAGATTATCTGGTTTCGTAGTTTGAGATTTTCATAATTTTTTCGTGATTTATTAATGCCATAATTGTATATTTGTTAAACAAAGATCCTTTCATAACTGTATATGTTTATACCACAAACCTGTCTTCACCATTTACTACTATTTACTATCATGTTTATCGATTAATTTTACCCTCGTTACTGATATACTTTCGCCATAATTTTACTTTTGTTACTGTTAGACGCTTACTTCAGAATACGATCCTCGTTGCTATTACCTTTATCCCATAATTCATCACCCTTACTGTTTTACAATGACACGTCAATACCTTGTTCTCATTTTTTCGTTATTCGTGCTCTTTTCACCATAATTCATGTAGAGAACTGTGCGTGCTAGACTTTGGATCCGGGGTTCGCGCCCCGTTACCGTCAAAGGAAGAAAAATCGCGTTTCGCACATTAGGACCGTAGGTGAGTAATAAGAGTGACGGTTAAATTCCACTATCCAATTAGAGTAACCCACCGGCTGTCGGTTGGTGATGTTGACTAGCTGTCTTCTTTTTAGTCTATCGTTTCAAAATTAAGGTGGCCCGGCATGGCCAGGTGGATAAGGCGCTCGACTCGCAATCTGAAGGTCGCGGGTTCGAATCCCCGTCCCACCAAACATGCTCGCCCTTTCAGCCGTGGGGGAGTTATAATGTGACGGTCAATCCCACTATTCGTTGGTAAAAGAGTAGCCCAAGAGTTGGCGGTGGGTGGTGATGACTAGTTGCCTTATCTCTAGTCTTACACTGCTAAATTAGGGACGGCTAACGCAGATAGCCCTCGTGTAGCTTTGCGCGAAATTCAAACAAACAAACATTCAAAATTAAATAGCCATTGAATGATTTTGCGCGAAATCGAACAAACAATAACTCATGTAAAACAAACAATTAGTTCTTAATAAAAGGCTTTTTTTGTTTGCTTTCTTGAGATATTGTCGTTTAATTAAACAAGAGCTACTCTTGGACTCTACTCCAACCGAATATTAGGATTTGGTGGTTACTCCTACAATGTTACCACGTCCCTAAACTGAGGAGAGACATTTTGTAACGCGAAACATGGACACTTGTGTTCAGAGTCTGTCATGCTGATTATTAGGCCACGCTGGGACCTTTTTTAAAGTTACTGTAAAAACAAAAAATGAAACTTTTTCTATTATTAACACTTGAATTTTATTGTTCAAACAATTTGCTGGCTTATCTCTGATGTTATCGTTATTTAGATAATTTATTACAGATTTGTCTGGTTAAACTAAATGTAAACGCTCCTTAAATAGTATATAACACAATTTTCTGATTAAACTGAATGTAAACGTTCTTTATATAGTTTTTACACAGTTTTCTGGTTAAACTAAATGTAAACGTTTTTTAAATAGTTTATTACACATTTATCTATACACCTGGAAAAAAGTTAAGCACCCCCGTGTTTTTTTCAAGTGATTCAGATTCGACGTTCTTGTGACTGATTATAAATTACCATTCAATCTAAACGTGTTTATCAA